TCCCATCCAATTCCCACTCCCCCCTCCAGGGTCTGCGTTGAATATCCCGCGGGTCGGGATAAGTAACCATTGGTGCTCAGTGCTGAAATCTAATAGTTCATTTTGGGTCACAATATGGTGACATTCCAAAACTACCATGTTTCTGGTTGTTTTCTATTTGAGATACTTTTATGAAAATTTGTTCCCTTTATCTATTATTTGGTTTACCCAGTGGTATACTTCCTATAGAAAATATGTGATAAATGCTTGGAAATTTTATCTACCAATATTCAAGATAACTAATTGGTTTTAATTTTTTTTTTCTTCCTATTTTTGTCTTTTTTCGTGTCCGTCAATGGATCGCAACCCTCAGTGTTGCGCCCATACTGGACCGGGACCGGCAACGGGATTGCAGCCCTCGGTGTTGCGCCCACACCTCGCTCAGCCAGTGAGCGGGAACCAGTCTGTATGTGGGATCCGAACCCTCAGCGGGAGCGCTGCCGCGCTCTCAAGTGGCGCACTGTAGCAGTGCACCACCGGGCCGGCCCTGGTTTTAATTTTTTATAGTTCTCCAAAGGTGACCAATTTGATTTTTTTTTTTTTACTACTATTATGAACTCATGGACTTACCATACTTAGTTTCTCAATCCACTGTAATTATTATCGTTATCAAAGCTAAAAGTATCACATTTTTGGCCACTGTGAACCTCCTTAAGCTGACTTAATTAAGTCCTGTTGACATTACCTTAGTAGTTGTTAATGGCTTACTTGCTATCTGTTATGGCAGGATGTTTCAGTCTTATACATTAATCACTCGAGATCTGGAATTAGCCATTTCTCTAAGGATTTTTGCTTTCTTTTAGTGAAAAATGGTATGTAGAGTCCACCACCTGATAGTAATGAGATGCTCATTTCTATTTGTTTTATTATTATTTAAAATTTTTTTACGAAGTAAAGTAAAAATAATGCATACACTCACAAATATATGAATACATATCATTATAAATAATGATATGTATTTTATATCATTGTGAATTCTATTGATACATTCAATTCAACTTTGAATTCAAAATTATAGGGGATTTTTGTTTGCTTTTGAACCTAAAATCTTCTGTCTGTACCTCTTTTTTCCCCTCACAAGATTCAAGAATCCTGGTTTATGACCACACTGGGAATTACAGAACTAGAATATCACATAATTACTCAATTACTTTATTCCACAATTTATGCATAACTGTTTTAGAATAACAATACCAACATGCCAACTACCAACACTACTGCCAACAATATGATTAGTGAAAAAAGTGTAAGGTTTTGTTTTTGTTTTCACAGTTATTTTTGTCCTTAAATTATACTCCATGATGCATTGAAATTATTGTGTTTTTTTTTTTTTTTCCTTTTTTTGTCTTTTTTTCGTGACCGGCAACGGATCGCAACCCTCAGTGTCGCGCCCGTACTGGGCCGGGACTGGCAACGGGATTGCAACCCTTGGTGTTGCGCCCACACCTCGCTCAGCCAGTGAGCGGCCGGTCTGTATGTGGGATCCGAACCCTCGGCGGGAGCGCCACCACGCTCCCAAGCGGTGCACTGTAGCAGTGCGCCACTGGGCCGGCCCCGAAATTATTGTGTTTTAAGGGTACTTGAAGCTGTTTGTTTCTATGTGGTTATACCACCAATTAGATACACATTTAATTTCATTAATCTCATTTTTTTTTTCTGTTTTTTAAGAATTGTTTCTTATTTTAATTTTATATTATAAGGGCTAAATTTAATCCTCACAAAAATTTTTATGGGAGAGGGTGTTTTTCTGACTCCATATCATAGGTAAAGAAATTGAGACTCAGAGAATTCTAGTAGATCATCCAAATCAAACAGATAGAATTTGAACATAAATTTCTAAATAAGTCCAATTGTTTAACACCATATTACCATAATGACTTTGAATACATTTCATGTGTGTCTAAATGAATTACGTGGTTATAATTGGTGAGTTGCTGATTTTGAGTATAGTTATCACTGAATGTTTAAGTAAAGGAAAAGTGAATTTATGCTTCTACTCTACTGACTAAATATTTTTGTAAAATTATGCAGATTATTTGTTATATACTTGTTATTCTGATTTGGGATTTATAGCAGACATGTTTTATAAGGCCATTTATCTCTTCTTTTGTCTGTAAAATTGTACCAGCATCTACATATTTACTCATTTAGCAACTATTTATTGAATTTTTACTGTGCAGGAAACATGTAGAGGTGTTGGTGAGAGGACAACAAATACGATACTTTTCACTTTCATGAGAGGATTGAGATATTTTCCGTGTAAAAGAGTATACAGGTTTAATATTTGAGATATTGTCTAATGTGTGTTTCTGTCTCTGATACTCCTTTTTCTCTGAAGCATTTCTAACAGTAAAATCAGATTTCAAAAAAAATAAAAACCTTGATGTATTAATGTTCTTAAGAACTGGACTTTGCCAATTTATTAGGACCAAAGGAATTATTTTAAAGAAAAAGCATTATTGTCCTATTTTATTAGTAAGAGATACAGAAGAAAGAATAAAGCAACACTTATTTATTTAATAATTTATTATTTATTTACTTTTTGGTGGCTGGTCAGCACATAAATTTGAACCCTTGTTCTTGGTGTTATAACACCATGTTCTGACCAACTGAGCTAACTGGCCAGCCCCCACAACATTTATTTATAAAGCACAAAGTAGAGCAATATCTGGGAATTATTCAGCTAATTTCATCCTTTCAGACCAGGCTGAACAGACTAAACTGATAAAATTTACTCTGTAATGCCACATCCTTCATGGTGTCATGGTATAAGAAGATACATTTGTTTTACTATCTTCTTTGCATTCTGTACATTTCCTAGCATTGTACAAAAGTCCTTAGTGAAAGTCTAAAATCATAATTATTTGCTGCCGTAAATATGTGGGTATCAAAGACAACATGTCTGAGTAATTTATTAGACCTGTGTTGCAGCAAAGTAACATTTGTTCATATGCTTATGTGAATGTAAATCCTAAAATTATATGGATGTAAATGAACTCTAAAATATTGTTCTTTAGACATTTGGAATTAATATAAATAGATGTACTTAAAAAAAAAGACTTTCGGTTTTATTACCTGGGAGAGGGTACAAAAGCACCTAAGAAGTATGAAGAGTCAATTTCGTTTTTACTTTGATTTTTATCATGTAATTTTTGATAAGTTCATAGCAGGCAGTATCTTGATAGTAATTCTGAATTACAAAAAGCATACACTTGAAAGAGAAAAATGCTTTGGAATGCTAAGGACTTTTCTTTCCATGTCAAGAGTAAAGCCTGGTCGAATCGGGGCATTGAGTTCTGCATCATAAACTACAGAAAAGAGAAAAATGTATAATGACAAAGAATAATTTTTCTGCTATACAGAGAGGAGGTTAAGATCCTTCTGAATTGGGTTGGAGATTAAAGAACATTGGTAAGGGTAGAAAGAGCGTTTAGATCAGGGCAGAGCTCCACTACTGCCCTCTGGCCTCTTCTTCAGAGGTCAATAGGAGTCCTAGATAGTTTTAGAGATCTGAACTTTGAAGAGAGCCAATAGTGCAGCCTGCCTAAAAGCCAGCAGAGTAGAGGAGGCAGTGTGGAGAGGGCAAAAGATGAAGTGCCTCCTCAAGACTTTCAGCTTCTGTGGGATATAGTGGAGATCTTAACGGTTCAAACAACTACAGGTAGATCTTCCATATGATCCAGCAATCTCTCTTCTGGGTATATATCCAGAGGAATAGAAATCATCATGTCGAAGAGATACCTGCACTCTCATGTTTATTGCAGCTCTGTTTACAATAGCCAAGATATGGATCCAACCTAAACGTCTATCAATAGATGATTGGATAAGGAAACTGTGGTATATATACACTGTGGAATACTACTCCGCCATAAAAAAGAATGAAATACTCCCATTTGCAACAACATGGATGAACCTGAAGAAACTTATTTTGACTGAAACAAGCAAAGCACAGACTGATAAATACTGCATGTGCTCACTCATATGTGGGAGCTAAGAGAGAAAGGAAGGCAGGAAAGACAGACCACAGCAGTGCCGTGATCCAACAGAGGGAGGGAACATTCCTAGGGCTACAAATTGGAGTTGAGGGGAGAGGAGACAGGGGAGGGAGGTTGGAGGATAATTGGGAGGGGACAAAGTCTACAAAAGTAATTTCTGGTACTGGGTATGCCCCCAACTATGAATCTGGCCCCCATATCATGGGCAGTAGGGGGGACAATCGGCTTTGTATCTCATTAATATTTGTAATAAATAAATAAATTTTTTAAAAAGTTCCAGTGTGCCAAAATAGGGTGCAGAAGAGACTGAGAATTAAAAACCACTTGCTTCTCAGGGGTTCCCTTAACTGTTCAGAGGATCAGTAATAAGAGGTGAGATAGGGGATGAATCAACAAGAAAGACCTTCGCCCTAGTGACCACCATACTTTATGCAGAGAAAACACAGACAGAGTAGTCAGGGCCATCAGCAGAGAAAGCTGAGAGCAACTACCAACAGAGGGAGAGATAAGCCTCCTATCAGCAGAGGCTAGCAACAGAGGATGTCATTGGGCTAGATGCCCCTTTCCAAATGTAAGGAGGACGTATATCTCTGTGACAACAAGAGAAAGAAAAGGATCATGGCTGAGAATTCTGGAAATGTACTTAAACTTTTGTTCTGAAATATGGTTGTTGAACTGGCAGGATTATGTTTTCTGCCATTAGAAACTTATCAGCACTCAAGAACCAATTTAATTTTAGTTGGACATAAATTATAAACATTACGCTTTTCCACAACCAAGGATGTGATCAGAAACATTACACCTGCAATATGAGCACCATGGACAAAACCCCAAGGGGGGCTTATTCACAGAGCTGCAGCTTGCTTTTGAGACTGGAGCAAGTGGTTTGAGAGTATGGTGGGGGGGATAAAGTATAGATGGGGGAGTAGCCAGAGGTGTGGCTGGAGACATAAACCTGGGAAAGATCTTTATCCCATGTAAAAGAGTTTCATAGTAGTTTAGTGAGACACCATTGATGGATTTAGGCAGCGATTTATATAAGATTTGTTTTGATCATGATCAAAAGCATGATCAGTTTACATGTGCTATGGATAATATATTGAGGTGAGTTGAGACTAGAAATCCTGCTATAACAAGAGAATGCTGCTGCATAATCGGGGAGATTGAGAGAGACAAGAAAGAGATTTCAGAGTGTAAATCAAGAACCGAAGCATTTAGTGATTCTTCATCAGCTCTTCCCACATATCGTCAAAGGTGTATCCCTGGTTTCATGCTTGAGCAACTGCTTAAATATGGCACCATTCATTCAGATAAAGAATCCAAGAAGTGGAAGAAATTATGATGAGACTGGCTTTTGGCAACGTGTACATTTTAGGATCTAAAGTGATTGTTCTAAAACACCTTGTCAATGGTTTTGTTCACCCATTGAAGCTGTGTAGACTGTGTGGTCTGGAGCCTGGCAGGAAAGATTTTTAAAAAGAGGCAAGGAAGGGGAGAGCTAGAGCACTGAGTCTTGGGGGATGGGAAAACACATGAAACCAAGGGGACAGATCATTCAGGAAGCAAAAGAGAGAATACAGAAGACACTGCTGGGACAATTTCCACTGGACTTAGCAATATACCTCCTTAGGTGGTGAAGTCAGGGAGAAAGACAGAGCAGTCAGAGAGGGATGTGAGTCTAAAGCAGGTGAGTATAGTAGTTAAAGCACAGACTCTGGAGTCAGACAGCCTGACTAGCTGTGTGATCTTGGGCATATTTCTTATACTTCTATGTGTCAGTTTTCTCATTTAAAAAGGGTAGTGCAGCCTCTATGGAAAATGGTATGGAGGTTCCTCAAACAATTGCAGATAGATCTACCATATGACCCAGCTATCCCACTGCTGGGAATATACCCAGAGGAATGGAAATCATCAAGTCGAAGGTATACCTGTTCCCCAATGTTCATTGCAGCACTCTTTACAATAGCCAAGAGTTGGAACCAGCCCAAATGTCCATCATCGGATGAGTGGATACAGAAAATGTGGTATATCTACACAATGGAATACTACTCAGCTATAAAAACGAATGAAATACTGCCATTTGCAACAACATGGATGGACCTTGAGAGAATAATATTAAGTGAAACGAGGCAGGCAGAGAAAAAGAAATACCACATGTTTTCACTTATTGGAGGGAGCACAGCCTAACAGTCATGTGAATATTAATATGATTCTAAATCCATATGAAGTTGATCACTGACATCACATTCATAATAATTGTATCTTGTTAACATATAGCATTGCATGGCCTTTTAAATTACTTACAATTCAGCAATGCTTCAGTAAAATAATGAAAGCATCTAGCATTTAAGTACATGCTTTCAATTGTACAAGTATATAAATTTTATGACTATGGTTCTGATGCAGGTGTAATTAATTCACACACGCACACACACACACAAAACCGGGAGGGGGGGGAAGAAGACTTAACAACTACAATTCCTTGAAGTTGATATGACAAGCAAACAGAAAGGACATTGTTGGGTGGGAGGGGGGTGAGGGAGGAGGGAGGGAGGTTTTGGTAATGGGCCACAATAATCAACCTCATTGTATATCGATAAAATAAAATTAAGAAAAAAAATAAAAATAAAAATAAAAAGGGTAGTATCAAGTATATTTAGTGACAAAATCTATCTCATAGAGTTGAGAGGATTATATGAGTTGGCCCACCATTCACACTATATATGTGTAGCTATTATTATGAATGGAGACTTTGTTTCATGGGCAGATTCTGAGTGTGTTGAAATGCTGATGGGAAGGTGACCATATAAAGGCTCTGGAGAGAAGTAGACATCACTGCAATGCCACCCTTTTCTTCAGTCCCTCTGGCTGTTCCTTCTCAGACTTCTTCTAATGTCTTTTCTTTAAAAAGAGGTATTGCTAGGGTTCTCACTCAGCCCTGCTGTCTTTTCACTTGAAAACTCCTCCTGGGTGATCACGTTCAGCTCCAAGCTGTGCTATCATCATCTTCCGTGAATCATGCTCAAACTTCTGTTTCTAGACTGGACAGAGATCTTCAAATTCAGACCTGTGTGCACCCTTGACCTGTCCAAAAGGAACTTTGCCTCTAAACCTGCTTTTCATGCCAGTGAATGACACCCTGTTATACCTAGCTGTTCAGACTTCTTGCATTACATCCTCTCACTCCATCTGTAGCCAATCAAAGACCGGTCTCAACACTTGCAAATTCCCCCACTCCCGTCCATCGTTTTTGCCGCTACCACAGTTCAGACCAGATTTTAGGTCATGTGTCATCTACATTATTAATCTAATTGTTTTTCATGTCTTAAAACTTGCTCTTTTCTAGCTATTCCCTAGATCACAGAGTGATATTTTGCAAATTCAATTTTGATCAGGTTACTTGTGACTTAAACATTCCCTGTTTTTAACAGCTCTGATTGCTTTCAGGATAAACTTTAAACTCTTTATCTGGATAAACAAGTTTGTGTGATATGGTTCCAACTAACTCTCCACCCTTATCTTACTATTCATCATCTCAAACTGGAAGCTCTAAATATATCGGATATCTTTTATTTCCAGAATACCTTGGCTTTCTATAATGCTATTTAAATTACCTGAGCGTTTCCTAACCACACTTTCCCCACACTGACAAATAAGTGCTTCAGACTCTAGCTTCTGAGTCTTTCTTTTTTATTTTTTCATTCTGCACCCCCTCATTTTAACACTTATCAATTCGAATTGCAATTTTGAGCGTGTATTCTTTAAGATACCAGAACTAAAGATGCTGGATGCATGGGATCTGCAGTGAAAGAAGCAGTTCACAGTTGTGTTCCCATGCAGCTTACATGAATTTATAAATGATAAACCAATACAAATGAAATATGAACTCAAAATATGGCCAGTGTTTCAAGAATAAAATTCAGGAGTTGGGGGACCTCCGGAGCCTAGGGAAGCCCCTGCCAACAGACAGCAAGAGCAGTGGTCCACCACTGTTGCAAACACCGCCACCATGCGGGTCTTCCACCACAGCTACCGCAACAGCCACTATGGCCACAAGGGCAGCCTGCTACCACTGCTGCTACAAGTGTGGCCCATAGACAAAGCAGCAGCCACTGCTACTGCAAAAGTCACTGCCACTGTGCAGGTGGCTCTCTGACCACTCGACTGCATTGACACAAGGAGTGTTACCAGCAGAGCCTGGAGATAGAGGTGAGTGAGTGCAGACCTGTGACCAAGTGGTCCAACACAGAGGAAATTATGCTACTACAGAAGATAGTTAACGGGAGGTGGAGGCTTGTGAGCTGCTCACACAA